CCGAGTATTTTGATAGATTTTGACGGGGTAAGATGAGACTCGGATATCATGGCTATGTCTATATTAAGATCACTAAGGATTGTCTGGAGTTCTAGTTTGTGGGGGTGTAATACCGTTTGCGTTCCATGTGAGTAATTTGAGTTTAAAGTTAGTTTCCATTGTTGGAGCTTAATTTGTTTATTAATGAGGTAAGAATGGTTATTAGAGGATTGAGAAGTGTAATGAGGGGAGAAATTAGTGTTTTAAATTCGGAAATGAACGATGTTAGTTGGTTTGATAATTTTTGATTGGGAATATGGTCGTTGGTATTATTAAAATTTGATTTTGATTTGTTACCTATTACAGCTTGTGAATATGATGTGTGCTGGGTGTTAATGGGCTCGTTATGAGTAGTTGTGGGTGCGTTGTTGAGATGTTGACTTGCTTCGTGATGAGGATGGCTGTCGCTGTTGTGTTGGATTTGAGATGAATCTGAGTTTTGGGCTATTTCTCTTGAGATGGAGTTTGGTTGAWGTTTCTTTCGGAGACGTTGGAGATCCTTGTGTACCGTGCAGCCTCTGTAATTTGCCGGGTGAGCATTACTGCATAGTGCACATTTAGCAGRGAGGTCCTTGGGTTTGGAGCATTGGTCTGAGGTATGGTTATCGCCACATCGGACGCATTTAGGCAGACAATTGCAGTATGATTTAGTGTGGCCGTACTGTTGACAGCGATGGCATTAGACTTAATTTAATTTTAATTTTAAACATATATTTTTTAAATATTATTCTCTTCAACTAATTGGATTTTTTTTAAACATGAAGGTACTACTAAATACATTTTTTTTTTAAATGATTAGGTATTTTAACGTAAATTGTTAATTGTTGTTTGTTACTTCATTTATTTATTAATTATACTACTAACGCTTTTGAAAATATGTTTTAAATTATTTTAAAGCAATTACAAACAATAATTTTCAATTTCTTACTTTATTTATTCAATTTAAATTTCTTATAACTAATTAAAAATTTACTCAAAGTACGTTCTTATATGTATCAAAATATTCAGAAAAAAATATTCAGCTTGGAAATAGAAAACCAACAATGTATTATTTCGTTTAACAAAGTACAAATCAAAAAATGTTAGCCATTACAAATAGTAAACGATATTAGTATTTACAAAAATGTAGTTAATTGATTACTTCAATTTATGCAAACAAAATTATTTTGTAAAAATAAATCATTTTTTAATTAATGAGTTTATTATGTTAAAGTAAGTGGTAAATGTACTGCATACTTACTTAATAAAATAAATTAAAACATTAGAATAACATGATAAAACATAATTGGACTCGTAATAGAGAATATATTAAAAATGAACAAATAATTAATTAATAGAGGTGAAAATTCARTTTTGGAAAAACGACTGACAACTTTATTAATTAAACAAATTATTTCTAATGTTGGAGTATAGCTTCACATTGAATAAAAACGATTAGTCAATAGCAAGAAGGTTGAGAAAAAATAGATATTTAGTTACATAATACAGACTAAAAGTGTTCAAAGTTTTAAAAGACCAAAGAATAAAAATGTGAAAATGAATATTTGGGWCTTAAAAAAAAATCTATATAGGTACAGAAACATCGAGGTATCGAAGTTTCTTCTCTGAATTATGCCGTGTTCCATTGCTGTTTGACGAATAATTGGTCTTGAAAATCCCACTATAAATTATCATACGGAAAGTTGAAACAAGTCCAAGAAAAAAAATCTGCATCCATTATTATTGCGTGGGAATTCTATAATAATATAGTTTTTTATTTGTTGTTTTACGTCGACTCTTTTAGAACTGATGATACATGAACATAATATGATCATATATTTGTACGAGTAGGTATATTTTGTACAGTATAATACGCGTACCTACATGTTATAATAATAATATGTGGCATGGTATTACACAATGTTACAAAGGCTTGAACATGAACAAAATATTGTAGACGTACTATGTAACAGTATAGGCTTTTGTTGTTATTGAAATCCATTGTTTAAACGCCAACGGTATATAAAATATATTCGTGGCTGACATGATTATAGTGAAATATAATAATATAGTATCGATAAAGGCTCAAATATAATATTTTATAGAAACGTAGTTTTTAAATTTTGAAATAATTTCTAGTTTGTTGAGGAGGACTCTGTGATTTATGACAAAATAATTTTCTAAATTGATTGACATAATAGAAATATTATGTAATCCGTATTATATATTATTATAGTTATACCTAGTTATACGAATATTTTTAGTTTATATATTTTAAGAAAGACTATAAGTATTTACAACTTTTAGACGTCGATATAATTTTTAACAATCTGCTAGTTTACAGCTTTATTTTAAAATGTCTACGATAAATGAATCGACGCACATTTCAAAGAACGAATGTAATAATTTGCTTATGGAAACTTATATTTGAAAAATTTCTGGTAAAAATACACTTTTTATCGGACTTATTCTTAAGTGGTTTATGCGAGATGTCCCTACAAAAATATTAAATCGAGCTTGTAATATTTTCAATAATTAAATAAAACTTGATCTCATTAATATGACACGTGACAAGCTGTATAATCGTATTATATTTAAGTATTTTGAGTGATTTGTAGTACTATATTAGGATTAAACAAAGTTTTTAAGTCGTTAAACAAACTATTGATTCGTTAAATGTCAAATATGTTACTGTTCTCATTAATAAAAACCGTAAACAGTTTTGAGAAAAAAAAAGTTACTAAATACCCACATGACTACATTTTTTCGGTCGTTATTGTGATATATTGAACTAAAAATAAAATTGTTCTTGGATCTTACACTGAATTGCTGGTGGTGGCATCAATAAGAAACGAAACACACCGCGAGTTACCAGGTGTGGTATATGTACACTAATATTATGCGTATGACAGAAATAATATTTACTATAATATTGGTTAATATTATTATTATTGTAAGCACCGTGTGCGTTAGTGGTTAGGCTCTCAGTGTACATTACACCAGTATAAGGGTGAGATGGTGAAGAGGGAGCCACACCAGTTGCGAGAGCAATTCATTAATTTACATTTCACCCCTTGACTACCATCTCCAAAACTACCTCCGCCACAACCTCTGGCACCACCAGCGTTATTCTCCACTGAGAGGACGACGACACCGCCGATCCCACCCACTCACCAGTCGATCGCCACTCTCCACCGTAGATCACTGTCCTCCTCCGTCGTCGATTACTACTACCCTTTCACCCAGTCACCCTGCCCCTTCAACCTAACTTCATCTATCCAAAACGCATAACCCACTCACCTCCAACTACAACTAGCGTTCGCCTGTGTGTTCGGGGGGCCGTTCCCGCCCATCTCGTTCACAGCCCGCGTGCGAATATTAATGATCTAAAAATGTCACTTTGTGTGTGCGTGTGACAGGTACGTCGCTCATCTGTGGAGGCGAGGCAAGCGGAAACTGATCAAAAAGTATCGGGTATGGATGCTGCGACGGCAGACCGAAAGGGAGGAGAAGGCGCAGCGGCAGAGCGCCACCACCGTCGCGCTCCTATCGCTCAACACTAATAACAACGACAAAAGCGGTAAGAGAAAAAAAAAAGACGCGTCGTCGTCTCTGACGATATGAATGATAACAACAATAATAAATAGTATATGGGTAGTGGGTACCTATACCATTGATAATAATAACGACGGCGGCAATGACGATGATGGACGCGAAAAGTCGATGAGTCTTCATAAATTTATGTTTGCCTGCGATCCTGCAGCAGTAGATCCCCTATCGTTATCACAATTCGCCGTCAATATTTTGTTTGTTAACCAACCACTATTATTATAAAATTATCACCTTCATAATAATATGTATAAAAAATTACAATTACTAGCAGCATCATAAATTATCATCTGGTAAAATATTACGCTACAGAATAATAATAACAATACGAACAAAGGTTGTTTTAAACATTTTTTTTTTCAAAATCTAATATCATTCATTTTTTTTAACTGTTACTTTTGTTTCAACAATAGATTTTTTCGGAACTATAAAATATTTTTGTAAATGTATTTTTTCTTCTATAAATTCTGATCAGCAGACAATAAGTACGAACCACTGAGCCACCAAAAAAAAAAAAAAATATATATATATACAAAAGTGTTTTATACGTAATTGAATTTCAGAAAAAAACACGATAAATACCGTCAATACGGAGTGATTGCCACAGTATTTACCTAAAATAATACCAAATTAAATGGATTTCTCAGAATAGTTTCTTTATCTTTCCGAGTTAATTAAATCACACTTATATCTCAGAAATGGATAGTATAAAATATGAACCAATTATACACATTTCAGTCTTAGTACGAAATCTTTAAATATTTTATAATTACATTATTCGTGGCTTGGTGAGGCGCGGTCGCACTGAAAGTACGTACCGGCCTCAGTTGCTAGCTCTCGGATGGGTGAACACCCGGGATTTTTAGCAACATATCCTTGCCACACATACTCAAACACGTGTTACAACCCTACCCACTTAAAAACCTACAAACAAATATACAAAAATAACCCCTTACGTACCACCCCACACGCAATGGCCTATGTTGCCACGGGTTCCACTTACAACAAAATTACATTATTAACATTTAAACATTACAATATAATATTAATAAAACTAGGTAAGAATGCGAGATATTACATTTTTGGGTATAGTAAATAAAATAATATTTAAAACTTTGTTAAATAAAAAAAATATGCGTTTGATAAAAGTGAGAAGGGTTTATATTTTTATCGGATCATTTTACTATGCAATTTCGTTTTTATAAACAAAAAGCGTGTACCGATTAAATTATTCTAGTAAAAATAATATAAATAAAAACTCAGAATAAAACAATAACACTTAAACTACCCGGTATTAAACATTTGTATTTCTATTGAGTATACTTACAAAAATTACCATCATCTTATAATTTGCGTAACTACAGCTTACAATACGTCCATTTAAAAAATATTATTTATTCCATATATTATTATTATTACTATAGAATATTTTTACGGTAAAAACAAGAATTGAATGGTGATGTTACAAAAAATACATTATGTTTCTAATTTTTCGCATGAAAATTTTTTAAGGTTTTAGAGTTTCTAATCTCATTTTATAAATTATTACTCACGTGTTAAAATGTTTTTGTATGCTTCAACACATGCTCCGAGAATACTTCGATATTAAAAATGAAACATTATTATAGGTAGGTACCGTATATAGAATGATCAAACTTTTAGTCATACTTAAAGGAGAAAAACGTTATAAATAAAGTTGTTCTATACAAACATTGATTAATATACGAAAGTTTCACACCCGGCCAATTTGTCTCTTGAGACCCAAAACGTTATTCAGGAACTGACAAACTTATGTGAAACAAAAAAAAAAACAAGGATTAATAAATAAATTTTAAGTTATTTTTTCAAACATTATTGAACAATATTAAAAGAAACATAAAAACAGTTAATCTTATAGGAACAAACGACAATAAGTACGGAAATGGAGGAAGAAACGGTGATGGTGATGAAGAATCGTCTCAGCCAATGCTCCGGTTTATGGATAACGCTCAAATCGATTCGGTAAGTAATAAAATTTAATTAAAATATTACTATACTTACTGCTAACTATTAAATATTTTTAATTGCATCCTTTTTTTTTAATAACAATAATACATAATTATTTTATCTTTTATCGTATCATTATCATTTTTATTGGCCTCGGAGTTAATTATGGCACATAAAACGATTAAACGTTACTTGCTGAAAGATTATTGAATACCAATATTATTTAAATTACAATATTTACGACGCGAACACTTGAAACTCTTCTTTTTAAGGCACCTATACACATTAAATCTATAAACACAAACTATTAATTTGGAATTTATTTACCACAAAGTTTTCAAAATGAAAAACTCGCTTGTAATATTTATTGTGCTACATCGTTTACGAAACGTAACTTATGTAAAACTAATAACATAAAATATATACACTTTATTCAGCTATTTCGATACATTTCGAAAGATTGTGTTCTTTTGTATCGCGTTAAACGTCCGAATATATTATACACAATAAATAACGTACATTTGCAAACGAACAGAGCACGGTGGAAACGATCACGTAACACGATTTTCCGATAACGCACACAATTTTCTGATAATGCTCACAATTTATCAACACCGATGACAATAATAATAATAATAATTAATAACGACGCGTCTCGTTTATAAAAATATAATGGAATATCATTTTACGTACGTAGCTATATATTATTATAATATGACATTTAAAAAACGGATCATACGTAAAAAATATATTATGATTTTGCGACTGAATTTCTTTTCTATTTTTTTTTAACCAACTTCGCGATACCATCCAGATGTTTTAGCGACGATGATGACTATACATRAAAAAACATTAATTCCAACATCTGTAGACACAACATAGATATAAGCACTTATAGATGCTGCTGTATTTTGAGTAGAAGATCTAAAAACGTAGTTTTATTACAGAACATTTATATATTATATTATTATTATTATTATTATTATTAATAATATTACTATATACAGTAGTCGTCACTAGTCAGTCGTTATATATTATTATTATGTAGTATTATCGCATGAACCGCACGTAAATTATGACAAAATTAAACATATTATKATAAATATCGCATAGGTAGGTACTTTTGAAGTATGTAAATACCATATTTTTGATTCAAATACATTTTAAATAGTTACCYATTAATTCATTGTACTTTTAAATTTAAAATATAACATAGATACTAAAAATCAAGTATATACTCTAGCTCCACGGGGATGATGTTAATAATTATTGCCTGTCATGACTCAATTTAAAAAATATATKATCGTCGTAATATTATAAAATTATTAAATATATAAACACTCATCACCTATACAGACAAATTCTAGTACTGAAAAGCTCAATAAACGAACAACTCGTAAGTATTGTAAAATATTTGAAATTTTTTTTTAATGTATATATATTTTTATTTATGGGATTGCCTTCAAGGGGAGATTTCTTCTTAAGTGCATTTTCTCATGTTAATTAAATATACGTAACTAGAAATTCTTACTGTAAATATTGTATGGATTTTAAATTTAAAAAAGGAAAGAGAAATTGATATTTAAATAACTTTTAATTCAAGTATTAGGAATTTTATTATAAWAACCACATAAATAAAATATTATTATATAGGTAGTTCATGACTCTATACTGTCTACACAATAGGTAGGTACTAGTTTTAAAGTCATAAAAACGATTTTCCTACAATAGTGTACAATACTAAAGTAGACCGAAATAATAATTGTGTGTATATRTGTATGTGGGGGCGCGCGCGCGCTTGTGTGTGTGAGAGAGAGAAAATGAGTGACATGACGTGTCGGTGGTAGTTTTGCATTCAATATAATACATTACACAATAATATATATGACGACAGTGACGGTTAGGTTTGATGGGCAGTGACGAATGAATCATACATTTATATTATGTGTATGTGTGTGTTTGGTGTGAGTGTGTATGTGTATGTATGTAATTATTTATGTATTTCCCTGCAACACCCCTCGACCCTTGGGTGTGGGGGTGAAGGAGTGGTGACGGGCGACGCACACTTGACCCGCATAAAAAATTAGGGTTTTTTCTTTTTAATTTTTCCCACCGTTGCTCCTTTTCTAGAGCGGGAACCTTCTAAGTCCGGGGTCGACATCCAGCAACGGTGGAATCGTGTCAAGGAGACGGAGCGTCGTAGTGGCTTTCAGCGACGAACTAATTACCAGGAGTGGTCCCGCCACTACCGCCGCCGCCGCCGCTGCCGCTGCCGCCGCTGCTGCCGCTGCAGCTGCATCCGCCGATGCCGATGCTTCGTCCGCTGCGGTAACGACGACGACGTCTACTGCCTCCACTGCCACCTCCATCGCCACCACCACGGCCGCCACAACCACCAAGGCCTCGGCAAACGTCGCACTTTGTTCGACTGAGAAAACGACGCAGACGGTCGAAGGGACAGCGTGGAACACRTCTACCTCCGCCAATACCACCATAGTATCACTGGTAAATCACAAAACCGCAAATATAACACACACGTACACTCACACACTGACACCCACACAGCAACACACGTGCACGATTCATCAAAACCCGTATGCTCACGCACGCATGACTGCGACTGCGATTTAAATCGTTATATATTATTTGTGTATCGTTGTGATGGTACTCATGTTGTGTTGAAAACGGCCGTAGACGACGATCGACCGTATATAGAACGAAAAGTGAGAAGCACAAGAAACACGAAGAACTTCAAGAACAGAAGTCGGATTTTCAAAAAACGTTTTTTTTTTTTTTTTTTACCTATTATAATATAATATACGAGTTCTTTTACATAACAATATTGTTCGTGTAAAATTTCTCAGTTGAATATCGCGTGCGGTCAGCTACATATCGCCATATCGGAATCATTTGATGTATCATCCGGTTCCCCGCGTATTTAATTTAACCAAAATCTGCACGAACTAAGATATTGCACTATAACTTAGTGTAGGTACTATCTTGTAAAAATATACTTTTCATTTGTATTCAAATATAAATTCAAATGCATCAACTTAAAAAGTTTAAATAGTTTTTCAAGTAGTTTTGTCAATAAGTACCTACCTATTCATTAACAAACTAAACAATTAAAATTCATTTGTCTCATTTAAGTATATTACATAATATATATATATATATATTACAAAATAATTAATATTTTTTTATAACGCCTCTACTGTACGACAACAGTGTTAGCAATATCGAACGAATTGTTTTAATGTTCGGAAAACTAACGTGAACTATACTTACCTACTTGTATAAATTCGTGGAATGCCGTCTGCCGCTGTGCCGTTGAATTATATTATTTTAATTAATTGAACTCTAAATTTCTTCCTTAGAGCACCTAATATTTATATATAATAAATGCACACATGTAACTAACACAAAACCTGTAACCCGTAACTTGTAGTTTTCAATTCACTTCACAACTCATAATATGGCTTCAACGAAAATAATCAACCGTAGTGTTTCCCTTTCACGTTTATTTTAGAAAGCTATGCAAAATATTGAACTAGAGAATTTCAACGAATTTACTTCTCAATAGAAAAAAATGCAAATTATATTGAAATAAAGACGACAAAATATTTAAACAAAAGTATTTGATTTTAAAATACCTACTTTTCAAATACTTAATTTAAAATGTATGTAAATACACTTACTCAAAATACTTTACAAGACTGTAAGTATTCTTTATCAAATATATTAATACAACAGCGGTACATTATACCCCTTAACATTTCGTGTTATACTATTACTGTCCACAATTATAATRCTTCTGACATACTGTTAACAAGGCACGCGAAAACAACTTAAATCTATAAAACACCTTATGTAAACGTTTGTATAGGCTATACTAAGCGCACTAAGGCGCAACTAAGGTAAAAATGCTGGGGGGGGGGCTATAGTCCCAAAAAAATGTATTTACTTCATTTCAAATGTAATGTTATATTACAATCTTAGTATTTATAAATTAAAGACACTTGATAGAAAAACTGGATGGCTATTTGTCAAATTTGAGGAGACTTAGCCCCCATAGCCCCCTTRCCCCCTTAGTTGCACCTATAGTACAATATAACATAGTATTATAATATTAACAGTWCTTTTTAATCGAATTTAGCGTACTGTTCGTACCGAACGTCGATGAAACAGCTTTCACGTTTTCGTCGCACGAACAAAGCTACGCTATTATATTAATATGTTATTAYAGCACACTAGGTACGTCGTATATTTTGTTGTAACCGTCCAATGTTTTTTTTACTCTTTTCTTCAGAAATAAGCGCGAGTTTTCGAAGGAATTATTAATATATTGCCCAATGAAAGCCGGTTAAATATTAAACGTATTATATTTCTGTACTCTAGGGAAATTTATTTTGTTGGTCGATAATGTATAATATACGTTTAACATTGTTCAACTGTGAAATAATATTWYGGCATATTATGATAATTTTCTATTTAARAAGTGAAATATCATTTTCAATCTTGAAGAAACAATATACTCCCTATGTAATTTTTTTTCTATTGATAGGTACCTACTTACTTTATGGCATCAAGACAATATATGAAACACTTTTCACGGAATTTTAATACAATATTTTAATCAGTATTTAGTTAAAAATCCACTAACACTGCGTTTAAACAAACGGTACTACCCCCTCTTTTAATCGCATATTGTACAGAGCGATTCAAAGCATGTCAATCCCCATTTTTTTTCTTTTTATGATACATTTATTCAAATTCTGACTTTTTTAAGTACACTTAAGGAACATAATATTTTCATTTATAGAGATTTTTAAAGCCATTTAAGGAGTGTAGTTTTATGTCAATACAAATACATTTTAATTCAAATTATAACCAACCTTCTTTACAGTAAATTGTTAAGCGRCTTATGTTTTTGAAAATTATTTTACATAATATGTTTAATTCAAAATTCGATCTAGTAACTTCTTATATATTAATAAACGAAAACACTAGGAATAATATTCCATATAAATATAAAATATAAATTGTAATATCTAATAAACTCAATGTTTATATTATAATACTTGATTTTTAACGAAATTTATATTTATATATATAAATATTAATTAGGTGCTAATATTATCAAATCATCAAAGCCTTCATATATTTAAAACCCATTATTGTGAACCTATTATCCTTGGTAAATAAAATTTAATAGCTCAAAAACTATTCGTTCAAATGTTTATGTAGAGATATGACAATTTTCATCAAAGTGAAAAAAATATTAACAATTTGCATTAAAAAATTGGTTCTCGTTTGAAAAAAAAAAATAATTAGTTTCACCACAACACATTCCTTAAAAGGTATAAGAAGTATCAATATTTCAAAATATAGTTTAGTGTAAGTAATTCAAAAGCATAATATTATTAGGAGTTCCACGGAATCGGAATATGAGTTGATTTTTTTTTAAAGGAAAAATAATATGTTTGGTAAATCACACTGTACAATATGGTCAGCAAATTTGTGTATTTATGTAATAATATTTATAATTTAATATATTATACTTAATACTTATGTATATAAACATTGGCGTCTCAGATGTTGACGAGTGGCGTTTATGGAGGCGGAGACGAGTTACGCTTGCACAGGTCGTTTAACATTGTTGACTATACGTGCCAAGACCCCGTAAACGCCAACGACTTTGTWACTATACCTATTTGTAACTGGCGTAATTGGATAAACTTGGTTTTGACCACCGCYATTCTCGAGTCACATCGATATCGTTCGATGTGCCATAGAAGTAAACATAAAACACTATAAAATAATATTATAGATCAATAGATCATAGTTATTGTGGGTATTGAAAGTCAACATAATTATTATAATATGCATGCAAGGTACAAAAAAAAAAAAAAAAAAAAAAAA